ACCTTTGGAATGAAAACGTCTGCATTACAACAGCGAACGAAGGAACACGGACACAAGATAAGTAAACAAGTATAACGTTAATTTAATTCAAATGATCGAAAGGAAAAAAAAACCTATAGAAATCCAATCACATTCGGTGTCCTAGTGCCCTTGGTTCTACCAATCCCTGCATGCTTTATAACTATACACAGCACCCTCACACATTTTCTATTTCTTCATTATTACCTGACAGTGTGTTTGTTCTTGTTGTTGGGATTGTGAAAAGYCTCAATGAAGAAATGGGTCCATCATGCTGGACTGTCCATTGGCTTGTTATGCCTTTAGTTTTGAAAATGAAAAAAACAAACATGATTATGTATTAACTAAAATATAACTCTCTCTCCCASCTCCCAGATAAAAGCAACTTCAAAGGCTTATGATTTTGGACAAACAGAGCAGGAAATAGTAAAAGTTGATGTCTGTAAAGTATACTAGTACTCACTTGGTTGTTCTTGAATATCAACAACAGACAGCTGAACAAACCCATTTTGACATCCCACTGCTGTCAGTCTCTGKTTTTCAGATTTTTCTTGGATATCCATCCACATAGCACTGCATAACAATAAGGAAAAAGTGAGTGGTTAAAACTAATGGCTACTAAAAGGCTGCAAACATGTCATGAAACTGTCACTCATACCAGACTGACCAACATGTGACCAGCCGATGTAACCATAAAAAGCATTTAGAAAAAAGGTAAAGCACCTACATTTAACGTCAGTAGTTCCTTCAGTTGAAATTCAACTGCTATCAATGGAAGCTGACGGTGCRCACTTTACCCCCTCTCTCCACCAACTCTGTTTTAAGAGTATTTAAAGCTGAAGCTTATACACGGATTAGAGAGAAGTTGAAACAGACGTGGAGATCCTAAGGATCTAAAACCGTGGACCTCTAGCTCTGAAGGTCGCGCACTAACCAACTAAGCTACGCCTGCTTCTTTGGTCAGACAAGTGCCAATTTTGGCCAGACATTGTCAGTGGACTGGCTGTCATTTGTTTGGCAGGAGTAAGATACTTTTGCTTACCAGACATTTACCTCAATACAGAAATTATAGGTTTTGCAGAGGATATATATGTTAATCACAACCACTTCCTGATTAACTAGAGATTTACAATGAAGATTATTCACTAACATCATCAACAAACCTGCTTGGAAGATTTTGCAGTTCAGGGAAGAAAGCCTCTATCTCCTGTTCTTTAAAAGACTGATGGTYGGCTTCCTAGGAAAATATATTATAAAATACCTGTAACCTATGAAACTTGCTTTGYGTTTGGTTAGCCAGTGTGTGCTCTGCCAGACCAATCCCACATTTCGTGAAAAAACAATTACCAATTATAATTCTAGAAAACATGACAGTCATGGCAAAGCACACATCATTACAGCACTGAGCTTTTTACAGTCATACTAAAACAGCTCTACAACCAGCACAAGTGCTTTCMATTGTGCTTTATTGTTATAATTACAATCCTTGGATTTCAGTCAAGAAACCATTAAAATTTTATACTAACCATCACTTCACGGTACATGTGAACCTTATGATCACTTCCTGCCAACAAAAATACATTTTCAACTGTTTCTCCGTTTCTTATCCTAAGAGAAAGTCATATGAAAAGAATTAAGAACTTAATAATAAATTAATTATTATTAGTAAGAGTTATCATCAAAAGCATCTTCAAAACAATATGAGACACACCTCAATTGGTTAACAAACTTACRATGTATGGTAAAGTTGGAATGGTATAAAATCTAGTTCAATGTGTTGACAGCCTTCTGAAGAATGAATATAGTCAAACAAAGTTAATAACACTAAAAAAATTAAATTACACTTGCTTTGATCTTGTAAATCAAATATTTGACAGGATACGAATTCCCTCACTTTCTAACTGGTTGAGTCAAGTGCTTCGTAATTTGAGCACACAGCATGCACACATGTATGTAYACAGTACATGTACGGTTGCAAAAGAATCACTGTTTGCTGGCTTTGGCTGTGCTTTAATTTCTTTGCATTTTCTTTCARTCATGTTCTATACCCATCCCTACATGTTTTATAGTCACATACATATTTATACATGCTCACAAATGCATTTATTTATTGAGAATCAAGTGACTCTTTTTACCTGCAATACTATCCAAGCAATATTCATTTCCTTCCTCAACACAAGAGTAAATGTTGAGAAACTKTTTCTGGTTACCATGAGAACTCTGGGAATTGGAGGATCATAATAATAACAGGAATGTCAATAATGGGAATGAATGGTTATAATTTGGTCAGTAGATAGAAAACTAGTCTAGAAAACCAATGACCTATTTTTATACTGACCATGTACTAGCTTGTTCCACTGCACTTGGGGTTGYTGACAAACCACCCAAGCCCCTCCCCCACAAGCTGTTCTGCACCAGATTATAGTTAAGGAGTAGCTAGGTACCTTGTTATCAAAAAATACTTACATGAACATTGAAGAGTATAAAAGAAATACCAACCACCAACCCATGACCCTTACTTCCTGGTCGTACAAAAGAATCTATAGATACAATCTCAGCATCTCCTGTGGGAAAAAATTAAAAATTATATATCTTACGACCATCACTCCCATACTGGGCTCTTTCGTGAGGTTCCCTCCACATGCACYACCACAACATTCTATATTCACAACATACTGTACAAAACTCAACTCACATGATTTAGAAAAAAATCTTAAAAATTCCCTTCAACTTCCATTTCCACTTATCATATACCTAAGATAGTATGCATGCTCTGGTTGGTCAAGAATACTGCATAATAAAAATGTTGGAAGAGCCTGCAAAATCACTCGCAATTCTTTTGAGCTTACATCACTTCCTGTGTGCTGTATAATACAGTGTCTTAACTCAAGTGAGAAGGCAGCCATAAACAATAGAAACTTTCTGCACAGTACTTGCATAAAAATAGAGTTCAATTCCCGGAGGATAGAAAATGTATTGTTTTGGTACCCCATAATGGCCACTGTGACGTCACATGAAAACGCTCTATTATACTGAATGGAGCATGGAAAAAACTGTTTTATTTGTCAACTAAATTTATCACCGCAAAACTATCTAWTTAGCCACCAAAACCCATCTCCACCCCCCTGAAGTTTCAGGGATTTGCACAAATCTCTGTTTTCATCTATTTCATGATTGGTTCACCAATTATTTTGCTACCATACCCCTCCCCAACCCCAGAAGTGCCTTCCTGATTTGTGGTCTGCACCAGCCAGCAACCAAAAAGCTGCAAGACTCTGGGCTCSAGATTGACAGCAAATTGGCTGCATACAAGGTCCCAAAATGAAATGTAYGAGTTAATGCTATTGACTCGTAGACCATAATTGGGAGAGGTCTCCTCATTTTAGTAAAGACCTACTAATCAGTCAAATGAATATACATGGACAAACTGAAGTGTCAGAGATTTGCATCAACCCCCATCTCTATCTCAATAATGATTGGGCCGCTATCCATCTATCCACCACCACCCCACCTCCAGAATATCAGGGATTACCTTCAACCTCCACCTCAACTTAAATAATGATTCACCTCAATCCACCCCTATAATCTCAAGATACGAGTTACTCTACCTGCAGGGATGTAGGTGAAGGGCAGCTCACGACTCACAGGATTGTCCCATTTATTTCCATATTCGACCAGAAATACTCTTCCTTTTAATGAAGAAACTAAAACTTTACRAGTTTCTGGTTCGTCTGATACACTAGTCAGTCCGTAGATATTTGTTTGGGAAGGAAGAGAGGTGAAATGAGCTTCTTCAAATTTGACTTTCACATCGGCCGCCATGTTGATTTTAGACTTTAGGGATCTGGGGTTGAGCCAACCATATTCCACAGGGAACCCAAAGCATACCCCGTTAAGAGAAAATTATACTGTGTCCTGAAAAAATGTGTAATTTGAGCGCGTATTTGTTTGATATAAAAGTTTTAAGAGGGGTGGACACGAGGCACATGTGCGCACTTGTCTAGGGTAAGTRGTAATGGCTTTCTTTGTTCTATGTTGAAATGATCACACGAAAACTGCAATCTTGCAATGGTTTGGTCATTCTTGAAACAACAGGGTTCATAAAGTCATGTTGAGAATGCTTCCATCCAACCTTCTCTTTTTCATTCCTTTCGCCACGTCTGATCAGTTCCTAAAGCCYAGTTTTGACTTGCTACAGAAATGGWAGGAGTTGGAGTCGGAAGCAGCTGATGATGAAGTAAATTAAAAAACAAAGGTATYTTAACCAGTTGACCACAGGTAACCCGGTAAAAGAGTCATAGTCGGTAGTGCATCGATAGTGGAATCAGAAAAACAGGAARGTCAGTCTTTTTGCTTGGCTTGCACTTGCAATTTCACACATAAATTGCTTCCCATTCTGACTCAGAATAGTTTCATAACACATATTTAAAACAAATATTTGAAATAAATTGAAATAAATAGTTTATTACAAAGGTAAGAAAACGCTTATATACAGGTTAAGAAGACTCTTTAGATAATTCTGCTTGCAGTATTTTGGTTGGTGGAATTTCTAGCTCTTGGTTGACCTGTAGAGCAATGGGACAGTCAGTATCCAATCAATAGACATCGATTCAACCACAGAAAGCCCATTTTAGAAAAAAAGTATATTTCTACATAGGAAGACACATATATATAGGACAACGCGCAAACAAAACTGTGCTTGCTATTCCAATTCCCTTGTATTGTTTCGCTCACTTTCTTGACCTCAAGTTAGGAGACCAAAACCTTCGGCCTGAAGACGGTTCATTGAAAAAGGCAACAACCCAAATAGACGGTGAAAAACAACTATATCGCTAGTTTGTCCCAGCAATGTATTCTGGTACTGTTCACTCAGTTGACTAACACCAAACAAAAGAACARCAAATCATGACGACTTTTGTTAAGTGTAACCGAGATATGCTTCGCTTGTCACACACAAAGGTTTCAGTATGAGGCTACGAGCTAAATGCTCAGTCATTCGTGACAGCGTGAACAGCGTAAAGCGAAGCATATCTCGGAAGTGGGCTATTGAGTTTACAGTCCCAGAATGCATTGCTGTGAAAGACTAACRATAAAGTCTATGGAACGTGCGCAATGCAGCAAAGAATGAACAAAGGTGAAACGAAATGTGCTCATCATGTTTCACTACATTGTGTCAGGCTATATGCACGAGCCCCTACTAACTGAATGTGATGATGACAAAGTTATGTTAGTCTATCTCACGTACCCTGGAGTTGACGTACTGATGAAGCAGCATCCTCAACTCCGCATTCTAGAAAAGAAAATATGGATATTTAGAACAAGAATTTAGGAATTTGCATGAATTTGAATCTTGGAGTAATCACTTGACATTTAAGTGCAAATGGCCCAATTTGTGAGTCATTAAAAATAAATAAAAATCACTTTTATTTAAGTGTCTAGCGTGTCTGTCGTTCTAGAACTTTCGCACTAATTGGGTACACTTTTCACTCACGCACGCTACCACTTCATTCAATATTCTATGCACACAACGCTCRACTAACATGTTGAATTTTAYGGAGGGAGGAAACCGGAGAACCCGGAGAAAACCCTCGTGGCAAGGGAGAGACCGACCCGACCCGTTGGACTCACAGCGGTGGATGACGACGCGTTAGCCGCGGATGCCACCCATGCTACCCATAAACTTACARCTCTAAATAAACAGAAAACCATTGATGCTGTGCAAGACACCAGATTTAAAAAAGGAAGGCAAGGTTCTTCATTTATCGCCCCAGACTAGGCCCAAACTAGACCGCAGTACCTGTTGTCTTAAAGCATCAGTTTCCTGGATGAGTCCTGCTCTCTCGGTCAAAACACCAAGGTACTTATCAAAACCATGAAGTAAGCCAGTCCAAAGACGCTCTTTCTTTTCATCGATTACCACCGCCATCTTGTCCCAGAACATAMTGTCCGATCTACAAATAACACATCAGTAGGTTGAGGCATAAAAGTAGCACTGTACTAATAGGATAATAGTGATAGAAACTCAGGGCAATGAACAAAAACATACCCAGTAGCCCTTGTGGCACCAACTCCTAACTTGACAGCTTGTCGTTTAACTTCCCTGCACAAAATAAAATAAAAACAGGTTTAGTCGGTAACGCAAGGTCYTTGGTCACGCTGGCTGAATAAAGCGCACGCAGCCCAAACAGGATCACACGCTTTTTATCGATGTGCAAAAATTTAACGGCTACAAAAATATAAGGCATCATAGGCCTAGGTGTGAAACGCAAATAAAATTCCTGCAACATGAACAAGTCGAGTTTTTTTCCCCACTTGCTTCGCTCTCATGACTCTGTGAGGCTACTCAAAGAGGTCGGCTTGGAGCAAGTCTGTTAATAAGTCACAATCAAGACGTTTTTTCACCTTATAGAAACATCAGCAAAGACCAGGCTTTTTTGATAGAGCAAACAAAGTGCATTCTGATCTGCTTCCAATATACAGATCTTTTATACGCCAWGACAATATTAATTAGTGTTGTTTAGGTAGACCAGAATGCTTGTGACTTACCTTTGTGGTTGACGATGACTTTCTACGAATTTTCTGAGAGAATTAACGACATCATTTGGATGGATCAACTGATAAGATTCTAGCCATGCAAAAAAATGAAAAAATGGAAAAGAGTAAATAAATAAACTCTTATTTCAATAGCACACGCAAAATTGTATGRTTTGCCGTTGCGACAAAATGGACATTGCGCCGCGCGATCAAGATAAATAGGTTCTAAAAGCGTTTCCATGACATTGTCGGAAAACACAATTTTTTTAAAGACACATGCCTATATAAGCAGGGTTAATAGACTCTGATATAAGGTTATGAAAACGTTCTCATTGGAATGGCGTCCGCCAAAACCTGTGTYGTAGCGACGATGATTTCGAGCGTGTTATTGTAAAGCACTGTAATGGATAAAAATTGGCAATAAGAAAAAAAGCTTTTATACTTCAATTTTGGCGCTAAGTTTTCTTTCGATAAACTTCTGAACATGCGMAGAATAGCTCTCACGTGTCCATGGTAATGGAATACATACCTGACTTTCTGGCGCGAATCGACGATGTTTCTGACATATGATCATCTTCCGTTGCCATACCAACAGCCTCAGCTGCATCCTGATCCAAGGGTTTTTCTCCATCACCCAGTTTGGTCTCTTCTATTGGCTTTTCTTGGGTGCTTGGAGTCTGATGAGCCACATCAGGTTCAGCTTCTTGTTCAGCTTCGCTTCCTTTTTTGAGGAAGAATTGTGCAAGCAGATAAATGTCTTCTTCAGTATCGACACCAAGTGCCTGTACAGATAGTACGGATAAAAACCATTAGATAGAATTTTCATCGCCATCGTCTAAAAATGTAGGGTTATAAGACATACCCTCTATCACTAATCAGTAAAGGAGGTCAGAAACCCGTTTATAGAGGTTTTGCACTATCACGTGAGGGCTGAGAGACGGGACCGCCATTTTACGTGGTCATCCGAGCCACGTGAAGGTATAACCATTTGTAGGTGTAATTACAAAGGCAGCACCTTCTACTCAGTTATTTTAAGACCCTGACTGGCGGGCCACCCTTAACCAATTGWGTTAATCGGGTGGCGGTTGATTTGTCTACACTTTATTTAGCAAATCAAAAATTGAATTTCAAACTCACCGCGAATATGGCGTCCAATTTCATGAGTGACTGTTCATCTCTGTCAAGAGGTGCCAACAGCTTGTTTAGCTTGGATTCCACRAGGAAACCCTACAAAAGCAATCAGAGGTAAGTAAACATTACTGGGTAGCTCTTGCATCAAGGGATATCCCAAAAGGCACTTATACGCTGCGCATACACGAGCCTTTATTGCGTGAACAATATGGTGCAGCGGATTGAAGAGGATATAGAGGAGGAGGAGGAGGAGGAGGAGGAGGAGGATGGGATTAACAGTGGATTCCACAGAGTGGCTCTTCTTCCTCTGGATTCCAAATTGGAATTTAGGAGTTGATTTTTGCGGAGGGAGGAAAGCCGGAGAACCCAAGCCCTCAAAGCACAGGAGAGAACCAACAAACAACTCTACTCACATACGACACCGAGCTCAGCGGGACTCTAACCCGGGTCGCATTGATGAGAGGCGAGCGCTCTCACCGCTACGCCACCCGTGCTTCCCCATATGTTAAAATATTTACACATGAAGAATCAACTCACAAGAATGTCATCACATTGACTGAAATGTGCACAACAAATAACGAAGCTTAAAAGGTCTATTTTACTCACACATACAATAAAACACTAAATTACAAAAATGTGAAATACAGTCAATGTCATTAACCTTGTCCACCGAAAAAAGACATTCACACATTTACACATTTAGACGTTTAGACTAAAAGGAATATAACGTGTTTCCTCGAACGTTCGGGCAAAAAACAAACGCTGAAATACCATTCTCCATCTTAAATTCTCACTAAATGGTCGGGGCATTCTGGATTTTCAATTCATGAGTTGAATTTTACATTTAAAGTTCAGGCTGACGCACACGAAGCATAGAATACAGAATGAAACACGTGATATTTCTTTTGGTCTAAATGTGTATAATGTCTRWATGTCTTTTTTCGGTGGACAACGTTGACATTGACTGTATATAGTATCTACAAAATGAAAAGAGAAGACGGGCAAGATAATAATGTATGGTTCGTGGAACAAGCACAACAGTAGCACTGGAATCTGTCATCCAGGATACATCTATGATAAGTTTAGAATACTTACTGATTCATCACAAACTAGTTCTAATATGGACTTGATAACTTTGGCAGGTAATTTGGGTTTCTGCGATTGTCCTTCACTGTCAACATCTTTAGCATTTTCGCTTCCATAACTCTGTTCAGGTGGTAAACCATCTTCTTCGTCAGTTTTCACTAAAAACGAGTAACAAAATCATTACTTTTAAAAAATAAAGTAGAACCTCTATAAASGCTTTGCACCATCACGTGATGGCAGCCATGACAGGAGGCAGGAATATTTGAATCTGGTCTAATCTGATTTACAAGAAAAAGAATTCATTTTTCCAGAGGACGAAGACTCTAATTGCTGCATGTGCCTACTGTCATGGCTGCAATAACGTGATGGTACAAAATCGGCCGCTAATACGAAAACCATTCTTATGGGAAGCCATTTCAATGTTACGGTATGTCGTACCGTGTAAGTGCTGTAAAACAGTTGCGTAAGTTTTTCCGTCCATACAAAAACCATTCTTATGGGAAGCCATTTCAATGCCTTACGGATTCTCGTACTCTGTATTGTGTACGTATTTTCTCACTCATACGAAAAAAACATTCGTATGGGAAACCATTTCATTGCTAAAACCATTCTTATGGGAAGTCATTTCAATGCTTACAGCATCTCGTACTTATGTACCGTGTACGTATTTTCTCACTCATACGAAAAAAACATTCTTATGGGAAGCCATTTCATTGATACGGYCTGCGTAGTACCATGTATCCTAAGTTAGTTCTGTATTTTCCCAMTCATAATACGAAAACCATTGTTATGCGAAMCCATTTCAGTGTTGCGACATGCTGTACTGTGTAAGTGCATGCTGTACGGCAGTTTCTTTCTCCCATTCRCGAGAAACCCATCCTTATAGGAAGCCATTTCAATGTTACGGCATGTCGTGTCGTGAACGTGCTGTAAGTCTTTATCAAAACCCCTCTACAATACCTTTACCTCCATCCACCTCTACCTCTTCCCTTACCTCTACCTCTGCCTCTACCTCTAAAGATAGGAGAATAGATCAAAGCAAAGGAAAAATCAAAAAAAAGAGTGTCAACTTACCGCCTTTCATGATCTCATGTGCAATTTGTGTAGCTGTTGGCTKCTGTTCGCTCACACTTTCAGTAGACTCTACTCGCATGGAATGAGGTTCTGCTTTAACTTCATCACTAACAAGAAATGATTGTTTTRGTGAAACATTGGTCCGTAATATTGAAAGTCATTTCAAAAATGAATCACGTTGAACACGTGACCTCATTGTAAATCTTGCATTCTGRAAAAAAGAACCGGCTAAACTTTAGACGGGACTTTAGAATACCCCGTCACTCAATAATTCTTTGTTTTCAAATCACTTCGGCCCTCGGACCGCGGGTAACTTGTAATGCGCWTTAGTAACTGCTTCGTTTTCAAATCACATCGGGACCTCGGACCGCGGGTACACTTGTAATGCTCTTCTAAAAGTGACGGGGTATTCTAAAGTTGCTCCGACCAAAATTTAAATGCCTGCGTCCCAGGATTGAGTTCGAAATTGAAAATTTGATATCACAACTACGTACTTCTCCATAGGAAAAGTTGTACCTTTTTCACTGTCCTCTTATAATAAGAGAGAGAAAATGAGATARCAGAGAGAATCAATAAACCTACATTTTAGGTGGTTCCCATGGTAACCCCAACTGCTGCTCACAGATGATTCTGTCTGCTTCAGAGACTTGTTGTACTAGATCTCGTACTTGCTCTTCGTTCATATCCCAAATGTCGTCGTATTTTTTTTGGTCTGTGGTTTGGAAATGCCTGGAAAAGGAGAAAGAAGGGGGGTATGTTTTTTTTAATGGCAAGCAACAACCAAAACATGACACACATTTCTCTCTATCCTTTTATCTCTTATTTCTTTATTTTTTTATTTATTTTTTTACACAAAGTGAATAAAAAGAAGACTTAAATAGAAAATATAAAAAGAAGACTTAAACTTCGTGTAAAAAAATTTGGAAGAGCGTTTAAGTTGTGACGCATTTCTGGGGGCATTTCCATGTGTGAGTGATGTTACATTTAAAAGATCTAGTATACTGATGTTTTGGACGTTAGTCCTTCATCTCATTAAAATACTATACTATACTGTAGAGCTCTCCCTAATTAACTYTTTCACATGGTGTTTWARTTTYCYTCTTATTCACTTGTTGTATTCACACCAATGCAGTCCCAACTACTATTACCACTAGTAAGTTTTTTACCTTGATTTCTTTTGTAGTTCCCTAAACTGTTCTGTTATACGTTTGTAATCATCTGTCAAAGCTTGGTTTTCCTCTCTGAAAGAAAAGGATGATCGATAAATAAGAAAATACAAAAACAGATATAAGTGGCCTTCTGGAGTTTTAACTGCAGTTGTATAAAATAAACGGTTTGTCAATTTGTCGTACCTGTACTGTCTTTCCTGCTTGGCCAACTTTTGTTTCAAGTTATTTAACACATCTTGAAGTCTGGAAAATACATTCAATGTTAATACTATTTTGCTTATCTCTATAACTAGTAGCAGTAGCAGTAGCAGTAGCA